AGGACATAGGTCAGGGGCAATTCTAGCTGTGGCAATGGGAAGTTATAGAAGTACAAAGGTATACACGTGACTCTAGCTCTTAGTCTCCAGTGCTCAAAGGAATTATCTGGAGGGGCTTGTGAAAAGCAGATTCTCGGGCCCTGCCTTAAAGGGTTCTGATTCATTCGGTTGAAGTAGAGCTTAGGAATCTGCATTTTTATAAACTCCTTAGGTGAGTCTGTGCCTGCTGGTCAGCAAGTCATACGTTGAAAACTCTTCGGTTGGGTCTGCAGCTCAGGCTAGGAGTATCGCTGATGTCCAGCAAGAAATGACATCTTGGGAGGAATGAAAACAAGATGGGGGCCGGGTGCAGTGGCTCATGCCCATAATCCCAGCACTTTGGGAGGCCGAGGTGGGTGGATGGCTCGATTCCAGTAGTTCAAGACCAGCATGGGCAACATGACGAAACCCCATCTCTACAAAAAATACACACACACACAAATTAGCCGGGCTTGGTGGTGTGCACCTGCAGTCCCAGCTACTTGGGAGGCAGATGTGGGAGGATCACTTAGCCCAGGAGGTGGAGGTTACCGTGAGCCATGATCTCATCACAGTTGTACTCCAGCGTGGATGACAGAGCGAGAAACTATCTCAAAAAAACCAAGATGAATAGCAGTCAAGAGGTTTGAAGGTTCAGGTAGGAAGGATAACAGGCTGTGTTCGTTTCTTAAGCTGCCATAAAAATTACCACAGACTAGGTGGCTTAAGGCAGTAGAAATTTAATCCACTACAATTCTGGAGGCCAGAAGTTCAAAATCAAGGTGTTGGCAGGGCTCTGCTCTCTCCAGAGGCTCTAGGAGAGATTCTGTTCCTTTCCTCTCCCAGCTTCTGGTGGCTGTGGCCATTCCTTGGTTTGTAGCCACTCATTCCATTCTCTGCCCCCGCCTTCACATGGCTTTCTCCTCCTCTCTGTGTGTCTCTTCCCTGGGTGTCCCCTGTAAGGACTTTTGTCATTGAATGTAGGGGCCACCCCAAATAATCCAAAATGGTCTTATCCTGAGATCCTTACCTTAGTTACCTCTACAAAGACTCTTTTCCCCCGGATATCACAATCACAGAGTCTAGAAATTAGGATGCAGATATAACTTTTGGGGTGCCACCTGTCAACCACACAGGCCTATTCTGGGAAAACTAGAAGCCTTGGGCCAGTCAGAGCAAGGGAAAGGGGGGTGATAGTTGGCAAGAACATCCCTTTCTAGTGCTAGAAAAGTTCGTCGTCAAGGGAAGGTGAGGAGGGCTGAGACTGAGGAGTGACAGACACTCGTCACTAATAGATCAGCAGGTTGGAATGGGATAGACAGTAGAGCTGACTTTATGTTGTTATCCTGATTTTCTGAGTCGGGATTCTGTAATCACAACTAACCAGGACATGACTGCACTCCTAGCATGGGACAAAGCTAAGCTGCTCCAGCAAGTGGACATCCAGGGGCTCTAGGCAGATTAGATGCTGGGAGTCAGGTTGGGCAAAGAGCTGCAAAGCAGGATCACACAAGTAAGTAGATTCATAAATAGCTGCCACTTATTGGGCATCTGCTATATGCCTGGCACTTTATATGTATCATTGCCTCTTTCCATCATAACCTAGCAATAAGGGTGTCAAAACATGGGGCTCCATTTTTCCTTTTTTATTTTTATTTTTTAAGACAGTCTCGCTGTCACCCAGGTTGGAGTGCAGTGGCGCTATCTCGGCTCACTGCAACCTCTGCCTCCCGGGTCCAAGCGATTCTCTTGCCTCAGCCCTTGAGTAGCTGGGATTACGGGCATGTGCCACCACACCTGGCTAATTTTTGTATTTTTAGTAGAGACGGGGTTTCACCATGTTGTCCAGGCTGATCTTGAACTCCTGACCTCAGGTGATTCACCAGCCTCGGCTTCGTAAAGTGCTGGGATTACAAGCATGAGCCACCATGCCTGGCCTAATTTTTGTATTTTTAGCAGAGATGGGGTTTCATCATGTTGGGCAGACTGGTCTCAAACTCCTGAACTTAGGTAATCCACCTTCCTTGGCTTCCCAAAGTGCTGGGATTACAGGCATGAGCCACCACCCCTAGCTATAGAGCTTTAATCTTTAAAAGCCTTTAAAACAGGCTTTAACATAGGCTTTTAAAGATTAAAGCTATATAGCTAGTAAATGGCAGAGCCAGAGTTTAAACCCAGATCACTCTGACTCCAAAGCTCATTCTTTCTACTAAAACATGCTACCTCGGATTTTAGCATCTTATCTTCCACTACCTTCTCTTTGAACTCTTCTCTCCACCTGCTCATCCTAGAGTTCACTAGACATGAAATGTCAAAACATCTGCTTCTCTACCAAATACCCTACGTTAAAAAAACTTGGGTAAGGTAGAATGATAAATCTCTCAAACCAGAATTGCAGGTGTGGGCCTAGAGTGCGAACACTTGCTTTCTTGTGGCTGTGTCGTATTTATCTTACTGCAGTCACTTGTGGGGAGCTCAAGCTGGGATTGTACACACAGCCCCAGTCCCAGGCTGGTCTCTAATCATAAGGCGCAGGTCTATAATTACTGTGTATGTTGCACCACTCCTCCCTCACAAACCCCACTACTGCCACCAGATGCATGCTGCCAGTGCTGTTCTGCAGATGGTAATACCCAAGTAGTGACAGTACTAGTCTCCTCCACAGGTATACCCGTAGAGGAAAGCAACAGTGATGGAACAAGAGCAGGGAAGCTGCTGGTCTGTTACACTTCTAGCTCATGCACTTTGAGTACCACTTAATCTGCCCTAAAGATAGTGTCACTTCTGGCTGGGCACAGTGGCTCACGCCTGTAATCCCAGCACTCTGGGAGGCCCAGTGGGCGGATCACCTAGGGTGAGGAGTTCCAGACCAGCCTGGCCAACATGATGAAACCCTGTCTCTACTAAAAATACAAAAATTAGCCAGGTGTGGTGGCACACACCTGTAGTCCCAGCTACTCGGGAAGCTCAGGCAGAAGAATTGCTTGAACCCTGGAGGCGGAGGTTGCAGTGACCTGAGATCGCGCCACTGCACTCTAGCCTGGGCAACAAGAGCCAGACTGTCTCAAAAAAAAAAAAAAATTGTGTCACTTCTACCAGTGTCAACAAATGTTTAGGGCTATGGATCCTCAACTAGCTTGAATGTAAGACTAAAATATTCCTGAGCCTGGTGCAAGGTTTAATAGGACTTTTAATTCATCTGTTTCAGAAAAGGTAACAAGACTAAAATATTAAGGAGTCCTAGCCTGAGCTAACACATCAGGTCTTTCACAGCATTCCGAGTACGAGTTTTGGGAAATTAATAACGAAAATCTTGTGAAAGGGCTCAAGGTGTTGCAATTCTCATCGCCTGTGAGCAGCAGCAATTCAGGAGCTGTTTTGCACAAAACTATAAATTATGAGCTACTCTCTACATATATACTTTTCCCCACATTCCTGCAGGGGTCTCTTTTCCTGCTCAGTCTTCGGAGCAATCTTTAAGAGCCATGAATATTTGCACCAATTCAGGAGTCAGTTTGACAATCATTTCACATTTTTCTGATGACAATTTCTAGTTTACTAGGCAAACAAACAAACAAAAAAACACTATTTTAAAAATGTTTTGGGATAGGTTTGAGTCGTTGTGTTTGCTTCCAGTCAGAGAACTTCCTACAAAACTGAAGATATAAAGTGCTGATGCCCGGGCGTGCCGGCGTTCGTTGGGGGCACGACGTCATCGTGGGAAGCGTGTTCTTTTTCGGATTACTGCTTGGCGGATTAGAAACCCGCAGATCAGTTCTAGGTTAGCCCTGATTAACTGCCCTGGGTGTTTCTGGGCCAGAGGGAATGTATGCTGGATTCAAACCAATACTCGTTGTCAGACAAAAGAGTTAATTTTTTACTTTACCCCTATCCAGGCAAATAATGAAGGTACAGGGAATGATCTGGAATGTTAACTGGTGCCCGCAACCGCGTCTGCTGAACCTTCTGCCCCCACGATTCTGTCTGCCCACATGCTTCTGTCTATCAGCCCGGGCCTCGGGATCAGCTCTCGCCTTGTCATTGGTTGGATTTCAGGAAGGGAGAAGCCCACGATTTAAAGGGCTCCTTTTCCACCTGCCAGGCATCGTCCGCATGGTCCAACTTGCTTTTGGCACATATTTGGAAGAATCTCCTGCTGTCGTTCGTATATTGCACTGACTGGTCAAAGGAAAAAGAGTGTCCCCTTAGTCACCTTGACAATTCCCAAAAGCGAAACTTGCGCTCTAGACTAGATCTACACTGAGTCTGCGGGGCGCGGAGTCCCTGCCCAGGTCAGTAGCGCCGGCCCGGCGGGCGGGCGGGGACAGGGGCGGAGCCTAGGCCAGGCGTGGTCTTCCGTGGGAGAGAAGGAAAGTCTTTGCCCCACCCCCTAAAAACTGCTCTTCTCCCAGCCAATCAAGGAGACCTATGCAAATAGGGTCCCTGTCGCCCCGGTAACCATAATGCACGGCAGCCAATGGAAACCAGCAAGTCGCGGCCCTGCTCCACGATTGGGACTGAATTAAAAAGATAGAGGCCCAATGGGCTGTGGGAACGGTCCTCGGCGGGTTGAGGGGCGGGGATATGCAAATATGGTTTGAAAAGCCGGCGGGAAATCTGAGTTTCGCGGGAGGACCTTGGCGCGTAAACCGTATCCCTTCATTCATTGTCAGCAGCAGCTTCCTGGAGCCATTTTTCAGCTGCCGGCCGCAGCACCCGGGCTGCCGCCGCCGCCTCGCAATCCGTTGCATCGGCCGCCCCCGACGCCTCCATCCCCGCTTGGGGCCCGATATCCGTGCGACCGGGACCCTCCTCTCTCCAGAGCCCCGATTATTTTTGGCCTCCGGGGCCTGTGCCGTGCGGAAAAATAAAAAGAAAAGAGAGAGAGGGGGCTCGGAAGCGCCGGGCGGGGAGGAGAGAAGGAGGAGAGACTTGGAAACTCCGACTGCAAATAATAAAGAAATTGAAAAAATACATTAATATACCGTAACACTAAAAAGAGCAGGAGCGAGAGATGAGAAAGGGGATCCAGCCCGCTCTGGAGCCGTACCTGGTGACCGCCGGGGGTGGGGAGGGGGCGGCTGTCGTCGCCGCCGCCGCTGCAGCCTCCATGGACAAAAGGGCACTGCTAGCCAGCCCCGGCTTCGCCGCCGCCGCCCCGGGCGCGTACATCCAGATCCTCACCACGAACACTTCCACCACCTCCTGTTCCTCCTCCCTCCACAGCGGCGCCGTCGCCGCCGGCCCCCTCCTCCCCAGTGCCCCCGGCGCGGAGCAGACCGCCGGCAGCCTCCTCTACACCACGCCGCACGGACCCTCCAGCAGAGCCGGGCTGCTGCAGCAGCCACCAGCGCTGGGACGCGGCGGCAGCGGCGGCGGCGGCCCTCCGGTAATACCCTTCCTCCCCAGCGTCCCCAGCCCAGGCGGGAGGTGGGCTTGCACCGCGCGGGTCGTGGGCGCGCTGCAGGGCGAGCATCGTGGGCCTCGGGGGCTGCCCCTCCGGCGAGGGTTCATTGTTGACCTGAGTGCTCTCCCCCGCGCTAGGAGGGTCGGGGGGCTCTGCCAGGCGCGCGGGGCGGCGGGGGTTGCCTTGGCGCGAACCACATCCAACACTCCAAAACTTTTCTCGGCCCCCACCTTCTTTTCCTGCACTTTTCCCTACCCCCACTGTCCCTTCCCCTCCAACTCGAAGCTTCCTCTTTCGCGGGCGTAGGAAGGGGTCACGCCCCGGATGGAGAAGGGGGTGGGGGAGGGAGTAGTGAACCGGGGTGCGGGGGGATCCGAGGGGTGGAAACCGGGGGACTCTTGGGGTGCATGCCCCCAGCCGGCCTCGGAGGCCCGTTGGCGGCCGGGGGTCCCTGCGGCGTGCTCCGAGCGCAGGGGATCGGCGGGGCTGCGCTTGACACATTTTAGGATCTGTAACTCCCGGCAACAAAGGGGCTGGGGGAGGTGGAGGGGAGTCGGGCGTAGGGGAGGTGGGGCTGGAAGCCGGGTGCGGACTGGGGCGTGGGCTCCCTGGGGTGAGGGGCTCGCGGGCTGGCGCTCCGGCCTGGGCGCATCCTGGCAGTGGCAGTGGCGGCGCCCGCGTGGCCCGAGCACCCAGGCCTTCCTCGCCGGGCCCCGGGCCTGCCCTTGACCCGCCTCTCCACTTGCCCCTTCCTTCCCCGCCCTGTCCCCCTCTCCGCCCCCCGGCGACGGAGGGCGGGGGCAGCCGGGTTCCCGTCCCGCCGCCTGGGTCTGTCCCTCTCTCCGGGACCCGCCGGTGACGTTTCGCACACGTGCGCGGAGGACGCGCCTGTGACTGGGGAGGAGGCGGCGGCGGGAGGGGGCGCTGGAGGGGGAGAGGGGGGCACCCACTTCCTCCTGCTCGCCGGCTCCCTGGCCTGGGACGGTCCCGGCGCCCTCGCACCCGTCCCCGGCACCGCCACCCTCCCTCTCCTCTCCCCACCCCCCCACCGGCGCCCGCCCTCGCCCGGTGCCGCCGGTCTCTTCGGCCCTCCGGGCCCCCTCTCCAGCCGGTCCCCCACCTCCCCCTGGAGCTAGGCTGGTTTCGGAAATGCCCTTACAGCAGCAGGTTAGTGACCGGGACGGCTCGGGGGCCGCCGACGCCGCGGGGGCACCGAATTCTGTTGGGGGCTGGAGCGGTGAGGGTAGGCGGTTGAGCGGGGTTTTGGAGTGGGAACGGGGGGTTGGGTGCTCGAGGGAAATGAGTAAGCAAGAAAAATCTAACTAAGTAAATGCCCCGGCCTCCTGTTCTAGGAACCTCGGAGCGGGAGTGTCTGCCCCAGGGGGTGGCTGTGGTGTTTACGTGGATTTTTTTTCTAGGGGACGAATGGATGGGCGATAGAAAACCGGAGGGGGCTTGTCGCCAATGGCCGAGTTGAGCTCTGTTTTCTGTGTTCTTTCCCTTGTGCTGGAGGGGGAGGGGGGCGGGTCAGAGGGTAGGGTGTCTGTAGGATTCCCCGGCCACCCGCCACCCCCTCCCTTTGTCCCTGTAATTTATAAAGCGCCTTTGAGAGATGATTTAGGTCAGTATGCGGCTTCTCTTTTTGTTGGTACTAGAAAGAAGTGTGGCCCGGAGGTCTCCCCCTTTCTCCTTTTCTCGCCTTCATTCCCTTCCTCCATGCCTCCCGGTCTTCACCCTCGTGGTGAAGCTTGGCCTCCACGGAGCTAGAACCGAACCAGGCTCAGTGAGATCCATGGTAGCTTGATCATACCAGGCGTGGACCTCACCTTGTCTCAGCTCCAAATGGGTTTAATTTTTGGAGAATCAAGATTTTGCGGGAGTCTTTAAGAAAGTCAGCACATAGGCAGCACTTAGGGCAGTGGGATGGGTTTGGGAATAATTCGGCGTTTTTTAATTTCCTTCCTGTGCCCAATTTCTCCCCAGGTTCGATCTTAACTGCTTTCAAGCCCCAGAGATACTTGCTGGGCATGTGTGATGTAGTCGTAGTCAAAGCAGCTCATCGTTTTTTTAGTGACGAGGGTCTGCCAGCAGGGGGGAAACGGAGCACTGTACCTGCTTACACATAACAGTATCCGCTGTGCTGGGTTTTCAGTCACAAGAATATGCCATGCTTTTATTAGCTTCAAGTACTCTTACTGACTTCACCTAAGCATGTTTGGGCATATTTTAAGCATATTTGACCCCTGCACAGTTCTGTTACTATTTCATAAACCTAACCTTAAACAACCAGCTATTGACATACTTCTTGGATTAGATTCACAGATTTATGGGGGGGTGGTTTGATAATGGAAAATTATGAGACCATCAAATGGCTTTTTAAAAAATCTTAACAGTGCTTGTTGGGCCAGGTCTCTAAGACTATCATTCTAGCCAAGTTTATTATATATAGTTCATTGTATTGAAGTATTTAAAGTATACAAAATTATCCTCACCATCTTCCAACTTATTTCAAAACTTTATGCTCCTTGACATGAAATTATTATTCGAGGAATAATATCCTTTTGAGTTTGTGTGCACACAAAAGATTTTTCATTACGGGAATATAAATATTACTCGTATACACATTCAGAAATATTATTTTTATATAAGATTGCAATGTATGCTGAATCATTGGTTATCTACCCTTTTTTTTTTTTGAGATGGAGTCTTGTTATGTTGGTCAGGCTGGAGTGCAGTGGCGTGATCTCAGCTCACTGCAACCTCCACCTGTCAGGTTCAAGCAATTCTCCTGCCTCTGCCTTCAGAGTAGCTGGAATTATGGGAGTGGTGGCGTGTACCTGTGGTCCCAGCTACTCAGGGAGGCTGAGGCAGGAGAATCGCTTGAACCTGGGAAGCGGAGGTTGCAGTGAGCCAAGATCATCACATCACCGCACTCCAGCCTAGTGACAAAGTGAGGCTCCCTCTCAAAAAAAAAAAAAAAAAGAGCAGGCTGGGCGCGGTGGCTAACGCCTGTAATCCCAACACTTTGGGAGGCCAAGGCGGGTGGATCACGAGGTCAAGAGATCGAGACCATCCTGGTCAACATCGTGAAACCCCATCTCTACTAAACATACAAAAAATTAGCCGAGCATGGTGGCGCGTGCCTGTAATCCCAGCTACTCGGGAGGCTGAGGCAGGAGAATTGCTTGAACCCAGGAGGCAGAGGTTGCGGTGAGCCGAGATCGCGCCATTGCACTCCAGCCTGGGTAACAAGAGAGAAACTCCGTCTCAAAAAAAAAAAAAAAAAAAAAAAAAAAAAAAAAAAAAGAGAGCAATTTCTTTTGGGACGATGTAGGAAATTTATCTAGTCAATGCATACAAAGCCCTAAGCACTGAGTATAAAGTTTGATTTATTGTTTTTCTTATCGAAATTATATTAGACTTCCACGTAAGTCTTCGAATTTTGAATTTTTTTGATAACTCTTTCCCTAAGCAGGAATGAGAGAATGGGGAAAGCTAGGTGATTGGCTGAACAAAGACCATCTGAACACTCAGTGTCCAAGAAGAGGTTGAAAAGTCTTCAGGTGGCCAGAGTTGCAGACCCATCCGATGATGGTTCTGATCCCAAGTTCTGTCTCAAGAATATCTAAGAAGTTAACCTGAAGCAACTTCTTCACCTTTTTTTCAATGGGGGGAAAATATGAGTACTACTTTCCCAGCTGTAAAGCATCTGTTATTTACAAATTGTATGTCCATTGGCAAATAATCTCTCAGCTTCTTCTTCTGTAACATAGGGACAATAACAGTGTCACCTTTAAGGTTCTTTGGAAGAGTTGAATATGATAATGCAGGCAAAATGCTTAGCACAGTGCCTGGCAAAAAATAGACACCCAGGGCAATTCATATTTATTATACAAATGTTGATTTTTTTCTCACTTAGCGACATAGTGTAAGGCCAGGTGCACTTGGTCCCTTTGTTGACATATATGAACAGAACTGTTAAAAAAGATTTGAAAGTGATATGTAATTAATTACTTATGCCCAATTAATTTGGGCTTTTAAACATATAAAACATGGCCATCCAAGGGGTAAAATAGGGGCATTTCAGTAAGACTTGCCTATATAGAGAGAGCAATGTTGAACTGCCAAGCATACGCTTGAATTGTGACAGGTTAAGGCCATATCATCCTCACTTTTTTGCTTGAGCTGTACGCTGTCCATGATTCCACAGCCCTGCCAACTTTCGGGTGCAGTTCATGCTTAGTGGCTTTTGTTACAGCTGAACTCTCAATCTTCACCATGTTAGAGACATGCATTACATAAATTCCATTTTAGTTGGGGAACTGTTGGAAACATAGGAACTCCAGAGAAGCCATAGTCAGAAGTGCTATTCAATGGAGCAGACAAGGCTTCATCAGTTTTTGCTGCTGCTTCTAAAAAGAAGCTAAAATGATTTTATTCTAGAAAATTTGGGATCTAGTAATGCAAGAGATGATGGCCTGTCACAGTCATGGCAACCTACTGATTATACTTTGGGAAAGAGCCCTCAATGCTTGAAATTTTCATCTAAGAATGGAGGAACCATAGGTGCTATTTCAGCAGGGTCTCTTTTCCTGCACAAGTATAAAAAGAAAACTGCTGGGTTCCTGTGGTTCTACACTCAATAATCTTGCTTCTGCTGAGATATATGGTTGATGCCAAGTTTAAGCTGGGAGACAATTTTTAGTCACTACATACCCCAAAATGGAAGTTTTAATATAATGCGGTGCCCAGACTTGGGCAGTGCAAATAGCTCCACTATAATCAGTACCAAGGGCGCCACTCTAATCATCCTCTGAAACAAAGCACCCTTAAATATGGCACTGAGCTGAAGAACTCCAGATTGTGAACAGGAAAGGATTTTTTTGTTTTTCTATAAATCACCGCCTTGTGTATTACTTGGAAGAGTGGGTTCTGAGATTAATGTTGTGCTGTGTAAAGCGAACTTGAAAACAGAAAATAATACTCTAAGCCTAGACATGAATAAATAAAAATACCTGGAGACTGAAAGATGGGGTGAAAGCTTTTATTGTGGTTTCTTAGAAATACGTAAAGCAGTAGTTTTCCTTTAACTCTTCTGTCTTTAATGCCATCTGCAAAGGTATTTCATCCATACCTTTAACCTCTTTCTTAGGGACTTGGACTCATTTGGCAAATCGCTTCTAGTATTCATAGTTAATTTTTTGGCTGGTTTTCCTAACTTAACCTGATTTAAAAATTATTCCATTTGTAGGAGCAGTTTACATCTACTTTCCCAAGCTAACCAACTTCGATTCCCTTTTAACCATCTATTTTCTATTAACAGTTTTAACTAGGATGAGTGAAAATCAGTTGCCTATGCTCACCAAGTCCCTGATAGACTTCCATGAAACCACTTGAAATGGTGCATGGTTAAGAAGGTAGATTTCAAAATTTTGTTTCTTAAAGAGGGTGAATGTCCCTGAATTCTTTGAGGTACTAAGTATGTGGTTTAATGTGTATTTTCATTCTTCTTATTAGTTTTAACAGAACGTTTCAGGAACCGTATTCGCAATTGCTAAAAAGCATTTTTTCTACGAATCATTTTTCATGAGACTTAACAAGGGAAGATAACTGGGAAAGAGGTAAATATAGGAAACCACTAATAGTATCTTCCTTCCTCCTACCCTGACCCTCTCTTTGGCTTCAAAAAGTGACTGGGAAAATGCGTCTTCCACAAAGAAAAGTTATACAACAGAAGGTACTGAAAAGCAACAACTGCCTTTGGACAGGAAACCTGAAGAGCAGGGATTATTATAGGGGATAACACACCTCGTTTTTGTTTCACTGAGAGGGAACCTGGTTTATTTTCTGCCCACACTTGTTTTAAACCCTCTCCTCTAAAAGCAACGTGTTTTTGGAATTCAAGAATGCATTCTTTCCCCAACCTTAACTGGGGGTCAGTCTTATGGCCACCATATTTGTCTACAATATAACTTTTTAAAAACATAATTTTGCCCTCAAATACTCTTCTATCCAAGGCAATATAACTTTGGAGGAGAAGTGATAAAGGCTACTGGTTGCCAGATTATATCACAAAGCCCAGATGCACTTTGCTTTGCTGAAGAATCTGAATGACACAGGTCCCCACTTAGCTTTGTAAACTAAGGCAGGGGTTCATGTCATCTCGA